GAGCTCTGATGGAGTCAGGACTCAAAGAGAGACACGAGGAGAGCTGGAGCTCTGATGGAGTCAGGACTCAAAGAGACACGAGGAGAGCTGGAGCTTTGATGGAGTCAGGACTCAAAGAGAGACACGAGGAGAGCTGGAGCTCTGATGGAGTCAGGACTCAGAGAGACACGAGGAGAGCTGGAGCTTTGATGGAGTCAGGACTCAGAGAGAGACACGAGGAGAGCTGGAGCTCTGATGGAGTCAGGACTCAGAGAGAGACACGAGGAGAGCTGGAGCTCTGATGGAGTCAGGACTCAAAGAGAGACTACGAGGAGAGCTGGAGCTCTGATGGAGTCAGGACTCAGAGAGAGACACGAGGAGAGCTGGAGCTTTGATGGAGTCAGGACTCAGAGAGAGACACGAGGAGAGCTGGAGCTCTGATGGAGCCAGGACTCAGAGACACGAGGGAGACACGAGGAGAGCTGGAGCTCTGATGGAGTCAGGACTCAGAGAGACACGAGGAGAGCTGGAGCTTTGATGGAGTCAGGACTCAGAGAGACACGAGGAGAGCTGGAGCTCTGATGGAGTCAGGACTCAGAGAGAGACACGAGGAGAGCTGGAGCTTTGATGGAGTCAGGACTCAGAGAGACACGAGGAGAGCTGGAGCTTTGATGGAGTCAGGACTCAGAGAGAGACACGAGGAGAGCTGGAGCTCTGATGGAGTCAGGACTCAGAGAGACACGAGGAGAGCTGGAGCTCTGATGGAGTCAGGACTCAGAGAGAGACACGAGGAGAGCTGGAGCTTTGATGGAGTCAGGACTCAGAGACACGAGGAGAGCTGGAGCTTTGATGGAGTCAGGACTCAGAGAGACGAGGAGAGCTGGAGCTTTGATGGAGTCAGGACTCAGAGAGAGACACGAGGAGAGCTGGAGCTCTGATGGAGTCAGGACTCAGAGAGACACGAGGAGAGCTGGAGCTTTGATGGAGTCAGGACTCAGAGAGACACGAGGAGAGCTGGAGCTCTGATGGAGTCAGGACTCAGAGAGACACGAGGAGAGCTGGAGCTCTGATGGAGTCAGGACTCAGAGAGAGACACGAGGAGAGCTGGAGCTCTGATGGAGTCAGGACTCAGAGACACGAGGAGAGCTGGAGCTTTGATGGAGTCAGGACTCAGAGAGACACGAGGAGAGCTGGAGCTCTGATGGAGTCAGGACTCAGAGAGACACTAGGAGAGCTGGAGCTCTGATGGAGTCAGGACTCAGAGAGACACAAGGAGAGCTGGAGCTTTGATGGAGTCAGGACTCAGAGAGACACGAGGAGAGCTGGAGCTTTGATGGAGTCAGGACTCAGAGAGACACGAGGAGAGCTGGAGCTCTGATGGAGTCAGGACTCAGAGAGACACGAGGAGAGCTGGAGCTTTGATGGAGTCAGGACTCAGAGAGACACGAGGAGAGCTGGAGCTTTGATGGAGTCAGGACTCAAAGAGAGACACGAGGAGAGCTGGAGCTTTGATGGAGTCAGGACTCAGAGAGACGAGGAGAGCTGGAGCTCTGATGGAGTCAGGACTCAGAGAGACGAGGAGAGCTGGAGCTTTGATGGAGTCAGGACTCAGAGAGACGAGGAGAGCTGGAGCTTTGATGGAGTCAGGACTCAGAGAGACACGAGGAGAGCTGGAGCTTTGATGGAGTCAGGACTCAGAGAGACACGAGGAGAGCTGGAGCTCTGATGGAGTCAGGACTCAGAGAGACACTAGGAGAGCTGGAGCTCTGATGGAGTCAGGACTCAGAGAGACACGAGGAGAGCTGGAGCTTTGATGGAGTCAGGACTCAGAGAGACACGAGGAGAGCTGGGAGCTTTGATGGAGTCAGGACTCAGAGAGACACGAGGAGAGCTGGAGCTCTGATGGAATCAGGACTCAGAGAGACACGAGGAGAGCTGGAGCTTTGATGGAGTCAGGACTCAGAGAGACACGAGGAGAGCTGGAGCTTTGATGGAGTCAGGACTCAGAGAGACGAGGAGAGCTGGAGCTTTGATGGAGTCAGGACTCAAAGAGACACGAGGAGAGCTGGAGCTCTGATGGAGTCAGGACTCAGAGAGACACGAGGAGAGCTGGAGCTTTGATGGAGTCAGGACTCAAAGAGAGACACGAGGAGAGCTGGAGCTTTGATGGAGTCAGGACTCAGAGAGACGAGGAGAGCTGGAGCTCTGATGGAGTCAGGACTCAGAGAGACGAGGAGAGCTGGAGCTTTGATGGAGTCAGGACTCAGAGAGACGAGGAGAGCTGGAGCTTTGATGGAGTCAGGACTCAGAGAGACACGAGGAGAGCTGGAGCTTTGATGGAGTCAGGACTCAGAGAGACACGAGGAGAGCTGGAGCTCTGATGGAGTCAGGACTCAGAGAGACGAGGAGAGCTGGAGCTTTGATGGAGTCAGGACTCAGAGAGACACGAGGAGAGCTGGAGCTTTGATGGAGTCAGGACTCAGAGAGACACGAGGAGAGCTGGAGCTCTGATGGAGTCAGGACTCAGAGAGACGAGGAGAGCTGGAGCTTTGATGGAGTCAGGACTCAGAGAGACACGAGGAGAGCTGGAGCTTTGATGGCAAACACTGACGGTTTATTTGGAGCGTCGGCCGGAGAATTCACAAGACATGTCACGGGCCACGAGTTGACCACACGGTAGAGATGCCAAATCAATTCTGAAGAACCCTTCTGTAGTTCGACGTGTAATAATCAACATTCCATGGGATTGTTTGAATGGTGTGAGAGTGTTGGCAGATCTGACGTGGCTGGGGAGGGGGTTCCATAGTGAGGGGGGGGGGCTGCTGCGAAGGCCCTGTCACCCCAGGTCCGGAGCTTTGTCCTGATGGGCTGCAGTAGGTTAGCTTCAGCAGACCTGAGGCGACGGGTGGGGTTGTGTCGTTGGATGAGGTCACAGAGGTAGGGGGGGGGGGGCAAGGTTGTTGAGGGCTTTGAAAGTGAAAAGTAATATTTTAAAGTCAAAGCGGTGTTTGATGGGGAGCCAGTGGAGGTCATGGAGGATAGGGGGTGATGTGGTCGGAGCGTCGGGTGGAGGTCATGGAGGATAGGGGTGATGTGGTCGGAGCGTCGGGTGGAGGTCATGGAGGATAGGGGTGATGTGGTCGGAGCGTCGGGTGGAGGTCATGGAGGATAGGGGTGATGTGGTCGGGTGGAGGTCATGGAGGATAGGGGTGATGTGGTCGGAGCGGCGGGTGGAGGTCATGGAGGATAGGGGTGATGTGGTCGGAGCGTCGGGTGGAGGTCATGGAGGATAGGGGTGATGTGGTCGGAGCGTCAGGTGGAGGTCATGGAGGATAGGGGTGATGTGGTCGGAGCGTCGGGTGGAGGTCATGGAGGATAGGGGGTGATGTGGTCGGAGCGGCGGGTGGAGGTCATGGAGGATAGGGGTGATGTGGTCGGAGCGTCGGGTGGAGGTTATGGAGGATAGGGGTGATGTGGTCGGAGCGTCGGGTGGAGGTCATGGAGGATAGGGGTGATGTGGTCGGAGCGTCGGGTGGAGGTCATGGAGGATAGGGGTGATGTGGTCGGAGCGTCGGGTGGAGGTCATGGAGGATAGGGGTGATGTGGTCGGAGCGTCGGGTGGAGGTCATGGAGGATAGGGGTGATGTGGTCGGAGCGGCGGGTGGAGGTCATGGAGGATAGGGGTGATGTGGTCGGAGCGTCGGGTGGAGGTCATGGAGGATAGGGGTGATGTGGTCGGAGCGTCGGGTGGAGGTCATGGAGGATAGGGGTGATGTGGTCGGAGCGTCGGGTGGAGGTCATGGAGGATAGGGGTGATGTGGTCGGAGCGTCGGGTGGAGGTCATGGAGGATAGGGGTGATGTGGTCGGAGCGGCGGGTGGAGGTCATGGAGGATAGGGGTGATGTGGTCGGAGCGGCGGGTGGAGGTCATGGAGGATAGGGGTGATGTGGTCGGAGCGTCGGGTGGAGGTCATGGAGGATAGGGGTGATGTGGTCGGAGCGTCAGGTGGAGGTCATGGAGGATAGGGGTGATGTGGTCGGAGCGTCGGGTGGAGGTCATGGAGGATAGGGGTGATGTGGTCGGAGCGGCGGGTGGAGGTCATGGAGGATAGGGGTGATGTGGTCGGAGCGTCGGGTGGAGGTTATGGAGGATAGGGTGATGTGGTCGGAGCGTCAGGTGGAGGTCATGGAGGATAGGGGTGATGTGGTCGGAGCGTCGGGTGGAGGTCATGGAGGATAGGGGTGATGTGGTCGGAGCGTCGGGTGGAGGTCATGGAGGATAGGGGTGATGTGGTCGGAGCGTCGGGTGGAGGTATGGAGGATAGGGGGGATGTGGTCGGAGCGGCGGGTGGAGGTCATGGAGGATAGGGGTGATGTGGTCGGAGCGTCGGGTGGAGGTCATGGAGGATAGGGGTGATGTGGTCGGAGCGTCGGGTGGAGGTCATGGAGGATAGGGGTGATGTGGTCGGAGCGTCGGGTGGAGGTCATGGAGGATAGGGGTGATGTGGTCGGAGCATCGGGTGGAGGTCATGGAGGATAGGGGTGATGTGGTCGGAGCGGCGGGTGGAGGTGAGCAAGCGGGAAGCTGAGTATGCTGTTGCTGTTGCAGTAATCCAGCCGGGATGTTATGAAGGCATGGATCAGAGTTTCAGCAGCGGTCGATGAGAGGGAGGGTCTGATGCGGGCGATGTTCTTTAAATGGAAGAATGCGTTTTTTGTGACCTGGTTGACGTGAATGTTCCAGGTGTCCCACAACCGAGAGCTGCCCGGTCACAAACTGGTAACAACAACAACAACTTGCTAGGGCAGCCCCTCCTTAAGGCAGATAACGGCTGCTCAAGGCTGGAGCATCTGTGTCAGAGGGTGAAGGAGGACACTAGGACAAATGATTCCCTAACAGAAACATGTATTTGTTCTCTTTTGTTTGTCTTGTACTTACTTCATGTCCTTGTGTCAAATATGTCCCATTAGGAAAGAAGAACGTCATGGTATATATAGATAAACATGAGCTTTAAGACTCACCGTGGAAGCTTTTATCTGGTCAGGCTTCTGTCTTCAAAGATGGTCACCTCAATCTTTACAGGATGCAGTCAAAGAAAAGCTTTTTGAAGAACGTTCGGCTTCATTTTCCAACCATTTAAAGTAATAAGGTCCATTTATCAACAGAAGAAAAAAGAGCTTTTGGACACAGTTGAAAGAAGCGGACTGACATTTGGATTTAAGAGACTTGACACTTACTTGGTGTTACTTTCTTGAAAAAAAGACAAATTCTTGACAAGTATTTGTTTTTGCTCATGTTAATAAGTTGCACTGTCCCTATGAAAAAAAACACACACACACACACACACACACACACACACACACACACACACACACACACACACACACACACACACACACACACACACACACACACACACACACACACACACACACACACACACACACACACACACACACACACACACACACACACACACACACACACACACACACACACACACACACACACACACACACACACACACACACACACACACACACACACACACACACACACACACACACACACACACACACACACACACACACACACACACATACACAGTTGGATTTCCTGTAAACTATAAATCACGATGTATTAGGTCATTGGTAAAGCTACTTAAAGACTGTGTTTAACAAGTTAAAGTCACCCAAAACACTCAATGCATCATTCCTCTTTCCCGCACACGTTCATTCTTGCATAATGACAAGTTTTTTATGTTAGGGCTGTTTAAATGCAGACCATTTAAAAGCATTGTGGCTGTGTTTTTTAATCCATCTGATAGTCAGATACTGTAAGTAGCTGGAAATCATTTATTTAGGGCATTGTTTCTTAAGCTTTTTTTAAGACAAAAGACCAATTAACCCGATAAAACAAAGTCATGGACCACCTCCAAATATCCCTAACAAGAAAAAAGTTAAAGTTAAAGTCTTCATTCATAACATTTAACAACTTAATGTTAATAACCTGTGTCCTATAGAGTCGGCCTAGAAGTCAATGCTTTTGAACGTGTGTTTAAAGGGGACATTTCTTATTAACAGTACCACAAGGCTCTCAAGCTGCAGCAAAGTGCATTTGATGGAAGACGACCAACAGAGTTTCCTGGTTAAAGTTTAGGATACGACTCTTAGGCCTCTCTCGATGGGGTCGGTGAGCAGGAGGCCTCGCGGGGCGTAGATCTTGTCGTTCTGCTCCTGAATGTACTTTGCAATCTTCTTCAAAACCTTAAAAAAAGGAAAGAAAAATCACAGTTTCAGGAACATTTCTCATACATCGAAAAAACCACCGGTGGCAATGTATTAAGAATCTCAATCTCACGGCCACATTTCATAGAATTAACAAACTACTGTTGAGCTGATAACCAAAAGAAAAAGGTTGCTTGGTCTAATTACCAAAATATTGTAATTTGTTTGACTGTTATTACACCTGCAGGATTGTCCCTCACTATGTCAGTATGCCTCTGAAATAGTGTTAGTTTTGTCAGCTATTTTTCTATTTAGTCTTACGGTACGTCCAGACGGCAGCGTTGCGTTGAAACTTGCCGGTGGGCGTGTCTGGCGCGCGACCAACAACCAATCACATTAATCCCCCGCCCCGGACACACAAGCACGCGGTTTGATTGGCTAGAGCTTGTACTGGCATATGATTCGATTGGCTAGCGCTTCCGTCGACGCTTGAGAAGTTGAACTTTTCTCAACTTTCGAAGCGAGCAACGGAGGAAAAGCGAGGCGACGGAACCACAATGCAGTTCGGCAAAGCATGACGTCACCCCATTCAAAGTGAATGGGAAGCGTCTCCGTTGAAGCACAATACGGAACCGGGTGGACGTACCGTTAGTCTTAGTCCTGTGTCAAATGTCCTTGTTAGTTTTAGTCATATGTAGTCACCTTCATCCTGTCTTTATTTAGACAAGTTTTAGTCGACTAAAAGTCTGAGCATTTTAGTCTCATTTTAGTCAAAGAAAACTAACTATTTTGAAAACTGTTGACATTTGAGTCTTTTTTAGTCATCAGATTATATTGAACATTTCAGTCAAACTAACCTTATTGGATGAAGAACACAGGTTGAATGATTAAGAAAGCAGCTTGGCAGAGAGTATCTGGTTTGTGGTGTTCTTACCAGCTGTGTTATGGCCACATTGCTTCCCTTCTGATAAAGCAATGCAAGATGTAACGTTATCTTTGATAATATTTCGTCTCCTCCTTTTTCGTCAACGAATGTAAAGAGAGATTTTGGCAACGTTTTTATTTAGTAAACTACATTTTCGTCTCGTCCTTCTTCGTCAACGATATTGCATGTTGATATCGTTACAGTTATTGTTTACCGACGTTGGCGCCGTCTCGTCATCGTCTCTGAAACATCCCTTCTGTTATTGTATAAAGTTCATGAACATTGTATGAGATGCACATCAGAAGAAAAAGAGGACAATGAGAAGGGGAGGGTTTCAATGTGTACTGTTCCCTTATTGCAAATGTTTACTCCTTTCATTGCAACTGTTGAAATGTTCTCAACTGTCTTCTAAATAACAAAGAATCTCAATCTCTAACTGTTCGCACAAGACGCAAGACCTATCAATGATTTACTTTAAATGTTCTGCTCTAGATTGGCCATATATCACAGAGAGTTTAGGGTGAATAAGACACACAGTGCATCCAAGTTATTGATACGTTTATGGATGCAATGTACCATTTCATAAGGTAAATAAAAGACCATAGGGTTTTTTAAACCTTCACTGAAGACACACTTCTTCTCTCTGGCCTTCTAGTCAGAGCTGAGCATGACACCTGACATTTCTCTGTGTTTTTTTCTGTTGTAAATTATTGTTATTGTAGTGCGTTACATACAAAAATCGTTTTTAAATGTGCTTTATAAATAAAACTTGATTTGCTTTGAGTTGATCAATCCTAGCAGCACAGAAGCAGTAAAAGGTAATGCTAATAGGTTTGAGAATTGTTTTGGTTAACTTACTTTATTTCCTTGTAACCATCAAATGTCCATCTCTCTAGATTTTAAATCATCCATCTTAGTCACTTTGATATAGACTCGAAGACTAGAAATCTCAAGATGGATTAACATTACATTTTCTTCATAAACATTCATATATAGCAACCTCTGGGTCTGAGAGTGAAATCAAGGTTTAAGTTTCTCTAATGTTCAGCAGTCTGATTGTATAGAAGAAATGATGAGAAAATGACACTAATTCTCACTTGATTTACTCTAGCCTTCTTCAATACAGCATGATGTTCATTTAATAAATGATGGTCCTATTTAGTATAAAATAGATGAAAAAGCTACAACGGTGTGTTACAACTTGAACACAGTTTCACAGTTAGCCTTTTTGAATTGATTGTATTAAATATGGCCTCTTAAAAATGTATTTTTGAAGCCCCCGGTTGTATTAAGCTACACCCTCACATATCTCTTCCAAAAAGATTAAACTGGTGACGACTAAAATGCCGAAATCGAGGCTTCAAAACCGCGTTTTTACAACCCGAGAAACCACGGCGACCACATCGACTGCTTATAAACGCCTCCAGTCATTGGTTGTGCACTATGACATTGACAAATTGGATTGCCATAAAATGTACTACACACATCCATTTTCCCCTCTGGATTAATTGTATTATCTTCAGAGATATCTTCACATTTGATCTAGCACCAGTTCAGACGTTAGTGTGTCAAATATCTGGATTTGAAGACCAAATACTGAGGACATTCACATCATAACTATCTTAGTCATAAACAGATCATTAAAACTCCACAAAGACCATTTACAGTATTTAGTAATGACCTTTTTATTCTGTCGAAGGTTATGTTGAGACCTAGAATAAAACCAGCAAACTCCCAAACTGTCTGGCTCAATAAGCAACCAGAGGATCCAACCCACCACATTCTTGAGCTGAGCAACAGACCTCCCTTTTTCTTTAGTAACGACCAGTCAATTTAAAATCCACGACTTTATGAGTGCTCATAAAACCCAGCCAAATGCTTTTTATTCCAGTTCATTTAAAAAAGAAAATATTCAAATGTAAGAGGAAAAGACCATTGGCATAGTAAATCCAACATTGTACTCAAACTGGGCCAAAAGAGATTTGAGATGTACATAAATCATATTTATTTGCTGGCTTTCAGAGGTCGTAAATATTGATTTACAGCCAGGCTAAAGCGTTTCACAGCAGGAGCACAACTTCCTAAAGTGTTAACCTGCTTTAAACATCTACATGTCACTTATACGTCTACTTGCGGTCAAAGCAGGATTCAGGGTTTGTAAAAAAGGTACATTTCTACACATTATTAGGACTAAATATAATTGTAAAATGGTAGTAATGCCCATATGATATATACAAGTTTGGTACCATTTACAATTATCTACAAAACCTTTTTTAACGAAAGCCAGGAAGCCAAGAAGTTCTTTAAACTTCTCAATTATTAAGTATTGTCTCAACATCAATAAACACTATGAATAAATAGAAGACATCCAATGCAAACTTTTAGCATAAATGAAACAAATAGTTTATGCTAAAACTGTAAAAGTGAGACAGAGATGGAGCACTCGAGTCCTGGACGATTTTCGGGACTTGTGACTCGACTCGGACTCGCACTGATTGACGCGACTGACTTGGAATCGTGAATTCTAGCGTACGATGACTTGGACTCGGACTCGTGAATTTTTCCCCCCACGATGACTCGGACTCGACTTGGACATTGACGCTCCGACTTGGACTCGAGCAAATTTTCTCTGGAGTCTGATGTCCTCTATCCTGGCGTGTGCTCCTGCGAGGCGAGTTCACGGACTGGGCCCGCTATTCCAGTCTAAAGATGTCTAGAGACACACCCCGCATTGTGCTGTATGCTTTCACACATTCTGCTTCCACATTGTAAAAGAGCAGCGCAAAATGCTCATTATGTGGAAACAATATTGAAGAGAACGAAAGCACATGGCTACTTAACATGCAGAATGATGTCATGTTGCATGTTAAGTAGCCATGTGCTTTCTGGGGCTTTATCTTTATCAGTAAACTGATTTAACCGGTAAAAGTTCCTTCAAAATAAGAGTCCCGATCTTATTACTATCAAAATAAAAGTGCAAAACGAAAACTTTACCATCTGAACTACCACTAAAAGGTAACTCATTTTAAATATAGTTAGACATATTAAAAGTAATTTACAATAATAATAATAATAGTAATAAGCTTTATATTTGTATAGCACCTATTACAAGAATTGTAGCCAAACTCACTTCACAGCAGTTCAATAGACAGATTAGTATAACATGACATGATAAAAGCAATGTAGAGGAGCAGCTACATTTCAACACATATATCCACGAAGATTAATACATGAAGACTTGTGACTCAGACTCGAACACAGGTAATGATGACTCGGACTCGACTACGACTCTCCCCTGGTGACTCGGACTTGGACTCGGACTCGAAGAGTGGTGACTCGAGAGTGACTTGGACTCGTGAATTGATGACTTGACTACAACACTGAAATTAGATAACTAAACCTCCTCACGCCCAACATTAGCCGCCTTTAGCTTAGCAGTGGTGACGTGAAGTCATGTGACCGTGCTGTAGTTCCTTTATATCCCAACATTAGCCTCCTTTAGCTTAGTGGTGGTGACGTGAAGTCATGTGACCGTGCTGTAGATTCTTTATAGCTCAACATTAGCCTCCTTTAGCTTAGCAGTGGTGACGTGAAGTCATGTGACCGTGCTGTAGTTCCTTTATAGCCCAACATTAGCTGCCTTTAGCTTAGCGGTGGTGACGTGAAGTCATGTGACCGTGCTGTAGTTCCTTTATAGCCCAACATTAGCCTCCTTTAGCTTAGCGGTGGTGACGTGAAGTCACGTGACCGTGCTGTAGTTCCTTTATAGCCCAACATTAGCCTCCTTTAGCTTAGCGGTGGTGATGTGAAGTCATGTGACCGTGCTGTAGTTCCTTTATATCCCAACATTAGCCTCCTTTAGCTTAGTGGTGGTGACGTGAAGTCATGTGACCGTGCTGTAGTTTCTTTATAGCCCAACATTAGCCACCTTTAGCTTAGCGGTGGTGATGTGAAGTCATGTGACCGTGCTGTAGTTCCTTTATATCCCAACATTAGCCTCCTTTAGCTTAGTGGTGGTGACGTGAAGTCATGTGACCGTGCTGTAGTTCCTTTATAGCCCAACATTAGCCACCTTTAGCTTAGCGGTGGTGATGTGAAGTCATGTGACCGTGCTGTAGTTCCTTTATATCCCAACATTAGCCTCCTTTAGCTTAGTGGTGGTGACGTGAAGTCATGTGACCGTGCTGTAGTTTCTTTATAGCCCAACATTAGCTGCCTTTAGCTTAGCGGTGGTGACGTGAAGTCATGTGACCGTGCTGTAGTTCCTTTATAGCCCAACATTAGCCTCCTTTAGCTTAGCGGTGGTGACGTTAAGTCACGTGACCGTGCTGTAGTTCCTTTATAGCCCAACATTAGCCTCCTTTAGCTTAGCGGTGGTGACGTGAAGTCATGTGACCGTGCTGTAGTTCCTTTATAGCCCAACACTAGCCACCTTTAGCTTAGTGGTGGTGACGTGAAGTCACGTGACCGTGCTGTAGTTCCTTTATAGCCCAACATTAGCCTCCTTTAGCTTAGCGGTGGTGACGTGAAGTCATGTGACCGTGCTGTAGTTCCTTTATAGCCCAACACTAGCCACCTTTAGCTTAGCGGTGGTGAAGTGAAGTCATGTGACCGTGCTGTAGTTCCTTTATATCCCAAAACTAGCCACCTTTAGCTTAGCGGTGGTGACGTGAAGTCATGTGACCGTGCTGTAGTTCCTTTATAGCCCAAAACTAGCCACCTTTAGCTTAGCGGTGGTGACGTGAAGTCATGTGACCGTGCTGTAGTTCCTTTATAGCCCAACATTAGCCTCCTTTAGCTTAGCGGTGGTGACGTGAAGTCATGTGACCGTGCTGTAGTTCCTTTATAGCCCAACATTAGCCTCCTTTAGCTTAGCGGTGGTGACGTGACGTCATTTGACCGTGCTGTATATCCTTTATAGCCCAACATTAGCTTCTTACTTAAAAAATCATAAAGTGGTGTTAATATGTGGAGATTATCCTGCTGAACTAAAAGTGTAAGAATCATAAACGTTTGTTTGACTGAGATTATTATCAAAAATCCCCTTTTTTGGCTCTATTAACCCTTAATGCATATTTGTAGTTGAAATGTGTCTCACCTTCTCGTAGTGCGTCTCCATACACAGGAAGACGGTGTACGCAGTGAGGCAGGCCAGACAGCCTTCGATATACGACTGGCTTCCCAACTTCTCCGCTTCGGCGTACAAGTTATTCAGCGTCTGCATCGTCTCCTCGAACTGCTGTTTGTCAATCTGAAATACATCAAGAAACATCAAAAGGGTTAAAAATGATAATACAAAAGGTATTGCCAAGTGCGTATTTGGCCATAAGTGTGAGAGCTTTGTTGGGATATTCGACTGGTAATTCATCCTGCTAGCACCAGATAGTTTTCCCTTTCCATCTCCAGATAAATAAGCGGCTCTATTTTCTTGGAGTCTACATTCATCAAGGGATTTCTGGGCCACCTTCCCACATTGGAAATTCTTAGGATGGCCTTGCCAACTAAATGTTTTCACTTAATAACTGATGTACGGTGAAAATCCAGGAAGGAATCAAGATGGATTCTCCTTCTCCAATGGCGCACCTTGAATAAAATAAAGACGTATCTCTGAACTGAAGACAGCTTCTGGGATACACACTGTAACCAAGACTGGCTGGAAATCAAAACCGTGTTTTTCTCAAGAATTTCCTCAAAGGAAGGGGGTTTGAAGAATGATGGAGGGTGGAGAGCTGTTGGCTGTTGGACTGGGGCTGTCGACAGTAGTCTGATAGAAACAGACGCAAGGTAACATTTTGGTATTGGCAAAAAACTGAGAATCCTTGGGAGGTTATGGCGAGGTCCATGAATGCCATACCATTACAGTTCTTAATGTCCTGATCCTGCTTCTGAGTTCATCCGGTTTATTATCCACTGACTGGACGTTTTCCAGAAGAAAACCCTGAATAAGGACGATGTTCTTTACGATTCTTTATAGCCCAACATTAGCCGCCTTTAGCTTAGCGGTGGTGACGTGAAGTCATGTGACCGTGCTGTAGTTCCTTTATAGCCCAACATTAGCCTCCTTTAGCTTAGCGGTGGTGACGTGAAGTCATGTGACCGTACTCTCATTTTTTTGTTAGTGAACAAAGGGCACATACTTAGAATGTTTTACATGGGACTTTTTTAAACCAAAACACCCCAAAATGTCTTCCTCTTCCTCCTAACAGCTGGTAGAAGCTAACACACCTGATGTTGACATTTTGCCAACTATGATACACTCCCTGAAAGCTGCATTTGTTTTGGAATTGACTCTCTGTAAAAATAACTAAAACAGTAGATCGGACCGTTGTAAGAGTTGGTCTAGGAACACGGGTAAAAGTTTAAACTATGCTAAAGGTCGAGTTAGCAGCTAGAGATCATAGCAGGCGGATAATAGAGTTGGAGGCTACCGTTAGCATCTGACCGCTCAAGGTAAACATCTAGATGACCGATGAGAGGACCTGGGACTTCAAATATTAACTACCCATTAGCCTTCGTGCATAAGACAATACACCATATTAAATATATATCATTAAATCCATCCTGGACACCAGCATCTGTGATTTCTCTGACACCGAGGGTGAATTAAGGGTCTCCTATTATACTATCGAGAGCCGAGAGCTCATGAGGAGAATTCTAGCAGCAGAAACTCAGCTAAATGCTGTCGTGATTAAACTCCATATCATGTTCCAAACCACATCAAGGATTATCTCTGAAACAGTATGGAGCTCAAACTCTCTCTCTCTCAGGTTTACCACAAGGTGACTTCCTTTTGATTTCCTGCTTCTTCACACACTCTCTCCAGTACAGGTTAGCTCTGAGTGTTAGCATGCTAATGTAAACACAGACCATATCACTTCCAGAACACGTCTCATTGTTTCTGACAGCAACATTTCTGATTGGCCCGTGGGGGTAAAGCCCGCCCACATTTGAGTAATGTCGTCATGAAGCAGCGAATCTGGATCAGCTCCGTTGTTCAGGGTACGGAGGAAAACAGGAAAAGAGAGAGGGTTTGATTTTCACTGAAACACCGGGGACACATATTGATGTATAAGAGACATCAAAAAGTGCATGATAGGGGACCTTTAAAGAGTCCTCCACCCTCCAATGTTCTGCTCTCTTTTGCCCGAGGAATGCAGCAGCGGGTTCCAACACATCGGTGGTTTTTAGGCGTGTTTGATTACCGTCATCGAGAGCCTTTGATCTCCGTCTAAATCTCCCATTCAGAGGCTGCGATTCAAACCACAGTTCTACTTCTGAGAGTCTTTCCATTGACGCAGATTTATTAGCATTGTGAATTATAGATTAGTGTACAAGATTGAATTCAGGTGAGGAAAAGCTAGTTCTCTTAAATCACTTAATATGACAATAATTAAAAAAATGTATTTAGCTGCATCTCTGCCTGATATAATTACCAAATATCTCAAAGCTTAAAACGTTAAATGTCTCGGGACTTCTAAACAAGCTACGCTAAAATGCATTTAATTTGTTATTTTATTATACCATTGGTTTTATATCTTTGTGTTTATTAGATCTAACCTATTTTAAATCAATATTTAGACTAGTTAATTATAGTCTTGGTATTATTTAGTATTCAGGGTGAGATCAGTTTTAGGGTATTTTGTAATCCCTGTACATTTTGCTGTATGATGTCCTTTTGTTGTTCTGTTGTTTATGTCTTCTTGTGGAACCTACTGCTGCAGGTCTCCCTTGAAAAAGAGATCATTGATCTCAATGGGATTTTACCTGGATAAATAAAGGTTTTGAATTGAATTGAATTGTGAGGCGTGTGGAAGTAATATATATTTTAAATACTTTCTTTTTAGTGTTTCTATTCTCAAGCTTAAGAAACTGAGTGTTTCCATTCGGTCCTTGGTAGGATTCGAGACCATTTGTGAATAAATTAATTTGATCAAATTCTCTATAACAGACGTTATAAATGTGATATAGAGGCGAAGTCCCTCCCTTTCCGGTGACAAATATTAAAATGTAATTTAACTGAACTGATTAAATACACATTACACACAGGTCAGTGAACAATGTCAGTTCCCAATTTATATAACTAAATGTTAATATGATGCCAGAAAACAATATTTCCGTTCCTCAAAAACTGTATAATTCCTCCAGAAATCTGAGTATCAAACAGAACGTCAGACGGCAGAGACAGCTTTGTTTTTACGGAGCTCCGACGTCATGTTGTTGTTGTTTACGTCACGTTGTTGTTTACGTCAGGAGACAGCTTGTATACGGGCGAAATGTTCTCCAGATAATTTATATATCTTATAAACAAGATCAGAGACACAGTACTCACTATATCTTTCTAGAAACCCCAGTAACTCTCTTACATGGTTTGGCAATCCAGCTGCCAAATACATTTCAGTGTTTCCCACAGAATTTGATTCTATTTGTGGGGGCACCGCACCCCCCCCACCCCCCCGGCAAGAAAAGCCAAAGGCCCCTTAACCAATTTGGGTTATCAAATAAGATAATACATGCGAGTTCATGGCTACTGTAGACAACGTTCTTGTTGCTCTGTGTTGCGTTGTTAATGAGTGAAACACACCGGAGTTGAGGATCTATGGGGTTTATTCTCCCAGAAATATAATTTACAATTTAGGCATTTAGCAGACGCCTTATTCTAAAGCGACTTACAATGACCAATTACAGGGACATTCTCCCTGGAGCAACCGAGGGCTAAGTGCCTTACTCAAGGGCACACTAGTGGTGGTGTTCCAGGCGGGATTTGAACTCACAACCTTCCGATCATCAGCCCACCTCACTATCCATTAGACCACCAAAACAAAAAAAAGAGATCCATTTGTGGCGGACGATATTTATTTGTGGCAGCCCGCCACAAATAAATCAATGTATGGGAAACACTGCATTTAAAACACGGAGCACTTTTCTAGTTCCTTGGTGAGATTCTCCAAAAGCATTCAAACAGTAAGAAGCTACCAAAAATAATACAGGCCCACAGCCTAAGATAATTATCTGCAGGAATGTGAAGTGACAGACCTCTGCAAATCAAACAGGGGAAATGTTTGCCTTAACAACCATGTGGCTTTTTAAACTTTAGGTTATGCAAACATCCTCTGAGATAAATAAAAGGTTAGGGTTACAATTTAAAGGCCCTGATACACCAAGCTAACCCCAAAGAACACGTCCCGACGGACCCGACTGTGGTGTCGCCTCACGTCTCCTGCGTCTTGGCCAAACAGTCGCACTGGAACACACCGCAAAGACTTCAGCCGACGGCCAAGTATCACGTACGAACTGCGCATGAGTGGCAATACCTCTCCTTACCAGCAGGCGGCGGTAGTGTGTATTCGTCATTCAAAAGAGGCAACCGGAAGACAGACTGCGTGATACACCGAGAGAAGAAGAACAGACTGCGTGATATATACAAACAACAAATAGCGTGCGTTCCATTCTCACTCTCGTCCATCACAGACTGTTTCACATAGCGACTTATAATCGTATAATTCTTGCGTCCAGGTGAGATGAAAATGAAAAAGATAATAGCCGTCTGTGTGTGCCTAATCGTTTGTTTGCGTCCCTCACTTCCGTTTCGCTTCTCATGCACTGATTCGCTAAGCTGAACAGCCAATCAGAGTGATTTATTTTGCAGGGGGGCGGAAGGTGTCGGCACGGCCGAAACGACACAACGGTGCGGGACACCAATCTGAGTAGGGCGACAGCAGTGGCGGTTCTAGACCAATTTGACTGGGGGGGCCAGGCTGGGGCCAGTTATTTTCTGAGGGGGGCACAATAAATGCGGGACGAAAAAGACAAAGACAGTATGAAGTAATTGCGCATAAGAAAACAATGCAATACAGTTATTGGTATTTGTTTCAGTACACATATTTATTTCAGATACTTATAGTTACAGGTTTTACGCTCTATAGGTCCGACTAGAAAGACAAATAGCGTTAGTTATGCCTATTCCGTCAGCCAAGAAATCGTTTAATCATAAACTTTTTTTTTTTTTTCATTTTCAGGGGGTCCAAAGTCAGTGTTAAGGGGGCACTGCCCCCCCCCCCCCCCCTAGAACCACCCCTGGGCGACAGGACACTCATCGACGGCCAGACATCTATCGGCTTGGTGTGTCCGGGCCTTAACATTAAAGAACTTTGATGGAGGACTGAATGTTTTACATGCCAATAAGAGAGCTTCATATTTTCTCTTTTACTTTTTAAACCCGACTTCAATCTGTGTGTCTTTAAAGGAAGGCTCCAGTCATTAGATAGTTAATCAAAACTTCAGTATTTAGTGAAACATTATGTTTAAACCATACCCTGAAGAAATCAGCGATATTCCCCGGTAAGTAATGATTTTATAGCTCTTTTTTATCAAAACCTGTATATTCCGTCAGGCAGCTGCCATTTTGGCCATTTTCAGTATAGTCACATGATCCGAAAAACTAGGTCGTGACGTCATCTATGCGTTCACTTTGTAAACACACGACGAAAACATGGCAGAGTATTTGAGTTCGGACTCGTCAGCCGAGGAAGAAGTTTAGAAAAATAAAGTCCAGGTGGACTTACTTTGAATTATCACTATAGGTATTCATTCCATCCAAATACAACTGTAAAAAAAATAAAAAACATACTCTGTTATCCTCTTAGGCCCCACGGACCCGGTTCCGGGGCCGAAATCGCGTCATTTGCAGGAAACAACGTCTAAGGAACCTTAATATTTAATAAACTATGAATATTTTATATCCATATAACGGGGAAAAAACTAATTTAACTGATCTTTTTCCTTTTTTTCTTCAAAAAAAAACACACAATGCTAACAGTGAGCCTCTGAATTAGCCCCGAGCGAAAAATGCTAACCTATTACTGCACCGAAAATCACTCCTAGCTCCCTTATTACTTATCCTAGCTGCACATCCAACACATTGTTTATGATCGTAAAGACACAGAATCTAACGGTGCCCACCTCAACACTGAAAGATACAAACTCGCGACCTTATCAACAACAACGTACATCAAAACAAGTGGCGCTAAGTACTAATATGCGGTAGGCTAACATGGCTTACCTTTTACATTACATTACATTACATTACATCGCATTTAGCTGACGCTTTTATCCAAAGCGACTTACAATAAGTACATTCGACCAGGAAGACACAACCTTGAAGAAAACAGAATCATATAAGTACATCAGGTTTCAGAGAGCCAAACATTTCAAGTGCTACTCAACTGGCTTTAGATAAGCCAGTCCTTTATTGGTATAAAAGTGCTTCGTTAATAGTTCTAACGCTCGAAGTGGAGTCGAAAGAGATGAGTTTTCAGTTTGCGCCGGAAGATGTGCAAGCTATCTGCCGTCCTGATGTCAATGGGGAGCTCATTCCACCATCCTGGAGCCAGGACAGCAAACCCACGTGTTTTCGCCGATGGGAACTTGGGTCCCCCTCGCAGCGAGGGTGCAGCGAGTCGTTTGGCTGATGCAGAGCGTAGTGCACGCGCTGGGGTGTACGGTTTAACCATGTCCTGGATGTAGGAAGGGCCAGATCCATTCGCAGCATGGTACGCAAGTACCAGTGTCTTGAAGTGGATTCTAGCAGTTACCGGAAGCCAGTGAAGGGAGCGGAGGAGCAGAGTGGTGTGGGAGAATTTAGGAAGGTTGAAGACCAGAGGTCGGATGGCACATGCAGGTAGACCAGCCAGGAGGGAGTTGCAGTAGTCTAGGCGTGAGATGACGAGAGCCTGGACCAGAACCTGAGTCGCTTTCTGTGTCAGCTGGGGACGTATCCTCCTGATGTTGTAAAGCGTGTATCTGCAGCAACGGGTTGTAGCAGCGATGTTTGCAGTGAAGGACAGGTTGTTATCTAGGGTCACACCCAGATTCCTTGCAGTCTGAGTCGGGGAAACAACTGAGGTGCCGATGTTGATTGTTAGGTCAAGAGTGGGACAATCTTTTCCCAGGAGGAAGAGCAGCTCAGTCTTGTCAAGGTTGAGCTTGAGGTGATGAGCAGACATCCACTGAGAGATGTCAGCTAGACAAGCAGAGATGCGTGCGACGACCTGGGTCTCTGAGCGGGGAAAGGACAGAATTAATTGGGTGTCGTCAGCGTAGCAGTGGTAAGAAAAACCATGCGGGCTAATGACTGATCCGAGCGAGTTTGTGTACAGGGAGAAGAGGAGGGGACCAAGAACAGAGCCCTGAGGGACCCCCGTAGTTAATTGACAAGGGTCGGACTCAGACCCTCTCCAAGTCACCCTGTAGGTACGGTCTTTCAGGTATGAGGTGAGGAGGGAAAGTGCAGAGCCTGAAACTCCAAGTTTTTGGAGAGTGCGAAGGAGGATCTGATGATTCACCGTGTCGAATGCAGCAGACAGGTCCAACAGGATGATGACAGAGGAGAGGGATGCAGTTTTGGCAGTGTGCAGTTCCTCAGTGACAGCAATGAGAGCAGTTTCTGTGGAGTGACCTGCCTTGAAACCAGACTGGTGCGGATCCAGAAGGTTGTTCTGATTGAGATAACAGGAGAGTTGTTTAAAGACAGCGCGTTCAAGTGTTTTAGACAGGAACGGGAGGAGAGAGACAGGCCTGTAGTTTATAACATCAGACGGGTTGAGAGTGGGTTTCTTTAGGAGAGGGTTTACTCTTGCCTCCTTGAGACTGTTTGGAAAGTGACCAGAAGTTAGAGAAGTGTTGATGAAATGGGTGAGAAACGGTAGAATATCAGGAGCGATAGTCTGAAGGAGGTTTGAAGGGATAGGGTCCAGAGGACAGGTGGTAGGGCGGGTGTCTGGTCTAAACTGGTCTTCAATGGCATTACAACGATAAAAACGATGATGTAGTTAATCCATAGATTAATATCCAATGGGGCTGTGTCCCCTTTGAAATGTTCTGGTAATCTATAAGCAATAAAACTGCAATTCCGTTATCTGCTGTCCGCTCTGTGCTCCGTGCGCTCTGGGTCCTGCTTCCTTACGTAGTAAACAATAAGTAGAGTCTGCTGCGTAATGTCCTTACGCTGGCTGGCATTGGCAGTGCACTGCATCCCCATTAAGTAATGGTTGATTAATAAATCCCATTTTATGTTTCATCATACTCTCAGAGTAGTCGTCTGGAAACTTGAAATGTTCGCTGCATACATGCGCCTGTGGATCTTTCGGTTCGGGCTGAGCACATTTCGCTAGCCACTTCCTCCGAACGTACTTCCTACACTTACCCGTTGGCAACAGATGGAACCGAGCATTCCGTGGATTGTTCCTATCAGAATTGTGGCAATGTTTCGCGATACAATGAGGCATATTTCAATAGAATTGTGAGAGTAACTAGAGTAAACAACATGAACAAAGCACATACGTCAATTTATCCTCGACACCAAACGCATAGTTCACGTCACTTCCGGTAAAATAAGTCATGTGACTCGTCAAAATGGCGCCGCCCACAGGGTTGATGTTATTTCGGTAATTAATCAGCTTAAAATCACTGATAACGTCATCGGTTTAAAAAAAAAAAAAAAATACTGGCAGAGACTGGTCTGTTTTATCGGATGATAATTATTTAAAAATGCGTGTCATGAGCATTCCCTCCCTTTAAATAACCTTAATTAATTAATGTAATATTGTACTCACTCTACTTGGTTGCATCTACTTTTTAATACAAAAAGCTGAAACTACTTTTCATGCTTGTATATAACTTGAATAGCTAACTATTATAGTACTTTCTATCTAGGGTTGTCAACTCGCACGAGATTAATCTGGAAACATTAACGTGATTTTAAACAATGTATGCAAATGAAGACCCAGTTAGACCCAAACTTCCTCCTGTAATTCGTTCGCGGATGTTAACCGTGAATTGCATGGTTGAGAAAAGGCAAATCAATTCTGAGGAATCAGCACAAGCTGCATGTATTCACTGCCTGGAGACCATGACTATTGTTCTGCACTCGTTCTGTAGGTGTGATGAAAGAGAGGAAAGGTATTTTACTGTAGGAACAGTTAAGATGACCTGTGTGGAGCACATTATACAGAGGGGGATCACAGTATGAATACTACCATACTACCATACTACCATACTACCATACTACCATACTACCATACTACTCTCTCCCTCCCTCCCCTCCCTCCCTCTGACATCGCTCCCTTCTCTCCCCTGACCTCTCCACCCTCGCCACATCACTGTGGTTCAACAGATCTCTCAGAATGACAGTGAAGTGTTTCCTACCCGGGTCTCCAGCTCGGAGGGGAACTTGCTCTGGAACTGGCACACGGTGCCGTTGGAGTAATCTCTCTGGAGGAAGACTTTGGCAGCGACGGCCGCCTGCTGCCTCATGTCCTGCAGGCTGTGAGTCTGAGGACACACCAGGTCTCAGCATTTAGAAACCATCACATGCTGATAAAACACACTGTGCACAATCATAAGCCTGTTAAACCCTTTGAGACACTTTACGAGTCAGCATACCATAATAACCTGTGAGGCTGTCCAACAATGTACAATGTCACTCATTAGATGGTTTTATCCAAAGCGACTTACATACCGTTTTTGAGGAACAGAAATATTGTTTCTGTTCCTCAAAAACGGTATGTAAGTCGCTTTTTCTGGCATCACTGTTTGAGGGGAAAATCTGCTTGGATAAAACCCTGGGATTGTAAACATTGGGAACTGACATTTTTCACTGACCAATGTTTATGGGGGGAGCATTTTGGGGTGAAGTGTCTTTGGGGACACAGCGACATGATGAGAGCAGTGGGGATTAAACCAGTGCTCCCCTGATCCAAACATCAACGCAGTAGCTCACTGAGCCACATCCACCAACACCCCCATCTCTGACCCAAACCACGTACTGAACAGTGAATATGAGCTGTGTCCATCAAATCGGAGACACAGGGTCCCACGATTGAATAAAGTCAGACTGAAGCTGTCCTTCACCAGTCAATCCTCACAGTAAATACAGATGCAAACCCCAGGTCTAACACTAAAGGGTATTTAAGCAGGTTTCTCTCAGTGATCGTGTTGTGATGTTAAATGTCTGTTTTCCATGTATCGTGTCTTAATATCTGTCACAAATAGAGCTGGTGTGACTTCAAATGTCAGACTTGATCTGTCTATTAAAGTATTATAGAAGTACCAGAGTGTAGGAATACTCTGTTACAGTAAAAGTCCTGAATTCAAAATGTTCCTCAAGTAAAAGTAGAAGTACTCAGGTCTTGTACTTGAGTAAAAGTAGAAGTACCAGAGTGTAGGAATACTCTGTCACAGTAAAAGTCCTGCATTCAAAATGTTCCTCAAGTGAAAGTATAAAGTATTCTTATCAAAATATAGTGAAAGACAGTGAAAGTAGTCGTTGTGCAGATTGGTCCATTTCAGAATAATATATATGATATGTTTTATAATGATTGATCATGAAAGTGTTCTCAAAGCTGGTAAAGGTGCAGCTAGTCTGAATGACTTTGTATACTGCAGGGTAGCTGGTGGATTTACTCCAGGTGGAACTAAAGTCTGATTCAACACTTGATTAGATTTCACATCATTCATCCACATCTGTGAAGTAACTAAAGGGATTAAACACATGTAGTGGAGTATAAGTACACCATGTACCTCTGAACTGTAGTGGAGTAATAGTATTTTAAGCACTTGAGTAACTGTACCTAGGTACTTACACCTAGCTTATGAAACGAGACAATGTCGCTATTTAATAAAACATATATAACTAGTTTCCAGCATAGTTGTATAAACAGGCCTACTTTAGCCTGTTAGCTTGATCAAACTAGTCCACTTCTCGTCTCTTTCCATCCAGTAATACCTCTGAGAAACACTCATGAAACATCACGTTAGGAAGAAACAGTTCCCTCACATGTGTTGTACCTAAAATATATAATATTAATGATCGTTATCTTACCTCTACCATGATGAACAAGGTTTATGTTGTGTTTGTTTTCCGCTAGCCTCTTTTAGCATGTGCTACAAAATAAGCACTCCGGAGGGGAACCTTTGTTCGATAACGAAGGTTCCGGTTGTAGAGATAACCGAAAAATAACAAATTAATAAAAGCTAAAATAAGATGGAACTTTATTGATGCCTGTAGGGAAACTCAGCTGTCATAGCAGCAACAGAATAAGACACGAACACAGATAGCACATGGAATATACACGGGAACAATAAGAAAGTAAAAATACAAATTATTATGATTGAATTAATATTAATATCATGATTTTTATTTTATTTAAAAAATGTTTTAATGTATTTTATTATCATTATCATAGTATGTTTTTATTATAATTATATTCTTTATTAGTATTATTGGTATTTTCTTTTTTATTGTGATGTTTTTAAAATGATTAGTATTTTAATATTTATATTCTATTTGCCCCCACACGAGTCATGACGTTTAAAATAGATGTTCTAATCATTGTTGGTATTCATTATGAATATCATAACAGATTACTCTTTGAATGTCCCAAAGCACAATAAGTAAAATAATATATAAATCTTTATAAAAAGCCGGAAGTGGCAGTCAGTAGGTGTCTTGGACAGAGCCGTAGGGTCGCCGGTTCAAGTCCCCGACCAGACCGAAATATGGAGTGTGGACTGGAGAGGTCCCAGTTCACCTTCTGCCCTACCGTGGTGCCATTGAGCAAGGCACCGGACAACCCCCTTTTTGTTATCTTAGATGAAGATATGTACCTGTTAGATGATGACAGATTCAGTTGGAGTTTGTCTATTGCTTTATTCTGAGAGCAAACATTTACGGTACGTCCACACGGCAGCGTCGCGTTGAAGCTTGCCGGTGGGCGTGTCTGGCGCGTGACCAACAACCAATCACATTAATCTCCCGCCCCGGACACACAAGCACAAGGTTTGATTGGCTAGAGCTTGTACTGGCATATGATTTGATTGGCTGGCGCTTCAGTCGACGCTTGAGAAGTTGAACATTTCTCGACTTTCGAAGCGAGCAACGGAGGCAAAGCAACGCGACGGAAACACAATGCAGTTCGGCAAAGCATGACGCTTCCCATTCAAGTGAATGGGAAGCGTCTCTGTTGAAGCATGCGACGCTGCCGTGTGGACGGGCCGTGGTTCATGGTCTTTTTTGTTATTTTAGATGAAGATATTTACCTTTTAGATGATGACAGATTCATTTGGAGTTTGTCTATTTATTTATTCTGAGTGCAAACATTAAGGAGGATCGATGAACAATATTGTTGTGCACTTAAGTTGAAGTGGAACTAAATAAAACAGCAGTGGTGGTCCAAAGTATTCGCATGCACGGATACTGGAACTGTCTTTCTTAATAAGACCCGACCTCTCTATCAGACTCAGATGTTGCATTTTAATTTTAAATGCATGCGAGAACATCCGTTTTTGTTTCTGTTTCCACCAAAGAAAGATGTGTGATTCTCAGGAGAGGTTTCTGGCCTTGGTTGTGCAAGAGGAATTTTTTTTTTGCCAATTCCAGTAAAATATCCATCTTTAAAAAACGCTCCCGGCGTGGAGACAAAAAGTTTGAGAAAAGACAGAACAAACAACAAAATATGATATTTATTTAATAGCTCCATGAGAGGTTTTTAAAGACAGTCAGCCAGCATTTAAAGTGCTCTTAAAACAGTGCAAATAGTTAGAAAACATGATGCAGGGAAACTTCTTCATGTCACAAGAGGATTCAATTAACTTATTCACAAACAGGTTAAAAGTGCAATACGATCATGAGACATAATGGAGATAATCCATCTGACGCTAGAGAAAAGGGGCCAAGATAAAACGTCTTAAAGAGGACATATTCTACACATTTTCAGGTGTATATCAGTATGTAGTGTCTCTACTTTAAAGAGTCCTCTCCTGCTGATGTTCAGGTGTATATCAGTATGTAGTGTCTCTACTTTAAAGAGTCCTCTCCTGCTGATGTTCAGGTGTATATCAGTATTCAGTGTCTCTACTTTAAAGAGTCCTCTCCTGCTGATGTTCAGGTGTATATCAGTATGTAGTGTCTCTACTTTAAAGAGTCCTCTCCTGCTGATGTTCAGGTGTATATCAGTATGTAGTGTCTCTACTTTAAAGAGTCCTCTCCTGCTGATGTTCAGGTGTATATCAGTATGGTGTGTCTCTACTTTAAAGAGTCCTCTCCTGCTGATGTTCAGGTGTATATCAGTATGTAGTGTCTCTAATTTAAAGAGTCCTCTCCTGCTGATGTTCAGGTGTATATCAGTTTGTAGTGTCTCTACTTTAAAGAGTCCTCTCCTGCTGATGTTCAGGTGTATATCAGTATGTAGTGTCTCTACTTTAAAGAGTACTCTCCTGCTGATGTTCAGGTGTATATCAGTATGTAGTGTCTCTACTTTAAAGAGTCCTCTCCTGCTGATGTTCAGGTGTATATCAGTATGTAGTGTCTCTACTTTAAAGAGTCCTCTCCCGCTGATGTTCAGGTGTATATCAGTATGTAGTGTCTCTACTTTAAAGAGTCCTCTCCTGCTGATGTTCAGGTGTATATCAGTATGTAGTGTCTCTACTTTAAAAAGTCCTCTCCTGCTGATGTTCAGGTGTATATCAGTATGTAGTGTCTCTACTTTAAAGAGTCCTCTCCTGCTGATGTTCAGGTGTATATCAGTATGTAGTGTCCTCTACTTTAAAGAGTCCTCTCCCGCTGATGTTCAGGTGTATATCAGTATGTAGTGTCTCTACTTTAAAGAGTCCTCTCCTGCTGATGTTCAGGTGTATATCAGTATGTAGTGTCTCTACTTTAAAGAGTCCTCTCCTGCTGATGTTCAGGTGTATATCAGTATGTAGTGTCTCTACTTTAAAGAGTCCTCTCCCGCTGATGTTCAGGTGTATATCAGTATGTAGTGTCTCTACTTTAAAGAGTCCTCTCCCGCTGATGTTCAGGTGTATATCAGTATGTAGTGTCTCTACTTTAAAGAGTCCTCTTCTGCTTAAATTCAGTGTATATCACCATAGAAACAGGAATTTATCCTTTGCCGATCATTTACATGCACAAAAACCTATAGAACGAACTACAGGGAAAAAAACAGTTAATGTGGGACTTCTTCTCGTAACACAGTATTTTTACAGTGTGTTTTAAGTGATTTAACGTCAGTAGAGGATCTGAGTACTTCCTCACCCATAATGACCCTGTCAGAGTGGTATTTAGTGAGTTACCTCTGTAATGACAGCAGACTGATGGTGATCTCAGGGGGACGTTTAGTGTTTCCATTAGAGAGCCCTTTAGTTAAACTATTGTCCGGGGCTGTAAAGCAGCATGTTGTAAACGAATGGTGCTCATTAGTGGTCTGTCCCACAGCAGCCTTCAGAGGAGGGAGGATTTAAAGCCAGTGATATTTGGATTTCTGCATTTAAACACATTCACTAATGGCTCCCTGAAAGCCTTGGGATGCTAGCTGAGAGCATTACTCACGCTCAACACTGTGAAATCTCTTAGCACTTTGTTATACAGTTGCTCTAAGAAGCTATAATCATATCAATAGAGAGGTGAAGGGATGATGTATTTCTGTGTTGGACCGTGAAGGCAGCATCTCCCTGGTCCAACGGGATGTCTCCTTGTGATTCTGGATTATTGCAGAAAATAATCTGTGTCAAACAAACGTTTATGATATTTACACGTTTAGTTCAGCAGGATAATCTCCACATATTAACACCACTTTATGATTTCTGAAGTAAAAAGCTAATGTTGTTCTATAATGGAACTACAGCACGGTCACATGACTTCACGTCACCACCGCTAAGCTAAAGGTGGCTAATGTTGGGCTATAAAGGAACTACAGCACAGTCACATGACTTCACGTCACCACCGCTAAGCTAAAGGAGGCTAATGTTGGGCTATAAAGGAACTACAGCACAGTCACATGACTTCACGTCACCACCGCTAAGCTAAAGGAGGCTAATGTTGGGCTATAAAGGAACTACAGCACGGTCACATGACTTCACGTCACCACCGCTAAACTAAAGGAGGCTAATGTTGTTCTATAATGGAACTACAGCACGGTCACATGACTTCACGTCACCACCGCTAAGCTAAAGGAGGCTAATGTTGGGCTATAAAGGAACTACAACACGGTCACATTACTTCACGTCACCACCGCTAAGCTAAAGGAGGCTAATGTTGGGCTATAAAGGAACTACAGCACGGTCACATGACTTCACGTCACCACCGCTAAGCTAAAGGTGGCTAATGTTGGGCTACAAAGGAACCACAGCATGGTCACATTACTTCACGTCACCACCGCTAAGCTAAAGGAGGCTAATGTTGGGCTATAAAGGAACTACAGCACGGTCACATGACTTCACGTCACCACCGCTAAGCTAAAGGAGGCTAATGTTGGGTTATAAAGGAACTACAGCACGGTCACATGACTTCACGTCACCACCGCTAAACTAAAGGAGGCTAATGTTGGGCTATAAAGGAACTACAGCACGGTCACGTGACTTCACGTCACCACCGCTAAACTAAAGGAGGCTAATGTTGGGCTATAAAGGAACTACAGCACAGTCACATGACTTCACGTCACCACCGCTAAACTAAAGGAGGCTAATGTTGGGCTATAAAGGAACTACAGCACGGTCACATGACTTCACGTCACCACCGCTAAGCTAAAGGAGGCTAATGTTGGGTTATAACGGAACTACAGCACGGTCACATGACTTCACGTCACCACCCGCTAAACTAAAGGAGGCTAATGTTGGGCCTATAAAGGAACTACAGCACGGTCACGTGACTTCACGTCACACCGCTAAGCTAAAGGTGGCTAATGTTGGGCTATAAAGGAACTACAGCACGGTCACATGACTTCACGTCACCACCGCTAAGCTAAAGGAGGCTAATGTTGGGTTATAACGGAACTACAGCACGGTCACATGACTTCACGTCACCACCGCTAAACTAAAGGAGGCTAATGTTGGGCTATAAAGGAACTACAGCACGGTCACATGACTTCACGTCACCACCGCTAAGCTAAAGGAGGCTAATGTTGGGCT